CTGACCCTAACAAGTATCGCGTCACCTCCACGTGCTTGGCCTTGAAGACGACGCCGTGGGCGCCCTCCCCGAGGCGGCCCAGGACGCAGTACTGCTCCATCGCGACAGCCTCGGGCCGCGCCGCAGCTTCCCAACCCCGCCCCGGCTCCGCCCCGGCGCGGCCGCCCCAGCGCGGACGCCGTTGCCCAGCAACCCCTGCGAGCCCCGCGCACGCGCACGCCCTCAGGGGCGGGGCTCCGACTTTCCGCGTTGACCTGCAACCGGCTCCCAGTGTCCGCTGCGGCGGCCGCGCTCGAGGAGCTGCGCCTGCGTGGAGGGGCCACGGTGCGCTCCAACTGCGGGTCTCCGTGGAGTCGTCTGCCAATCAGTGACATAAAAACAGTGGGACGGGGCTCAGACCCCCCACTCCTAAGTGTATGGAACTGCCATTTCCATGTTTGCCACAGGGAAGGTGACAAACGCAGCACGTCGGGGCCCCTCGCATTGTTCTCGCGGTGCCTGGACTGCAAGTGAGGGGGAAATGTGATGATGCAGGGAACATAAATGTGTGTCGCCTCTGCGTCTCCTACTTTCCGAACGCTGCAAAAGCTGGAGGAAAACGTCTCCAGTATTCTGCGTCTTCAGTGTTTGAAAACGATTATCCCCCATAAGGCTAGCCGCTCCCCCTCCGAAGATGAAAGGAAAAAGACTTGTATCCAATTCAGCGAGGACGTAGCTCATGTCACTGAAAATGAGTGAAGTCGTAATGTACATGTCATTGCTTCACTTATAAAACTCGTCACCATAAAGTTACCAGACAGCATTTACGTTGTGGCCACACTCATTTGTCACTGATGTGAGCAACTTTGCAAACTTAAATGAGTAGCTTTCTTTCATAGTCTGATGTGAAATCACGATTAACTTGGAAGTGTGGGTTGACTGTGGATGCGAGAGTTTGGCAGAAATCAACAAAAGCATTACATGAGAATCATTTGCCTATATGGAATTTACAATAAAGAGGAATACATACGTTATTATTGTATGTCAATTAAATTGTATGCTACACACGTATTGTATTAGTAAAATTTATCTCACAGATGTATGTGTGTATACTTATAGGTTGGTTGGGGGGTCAGTGTGTATATTTGAGGATGAGAGAAAGTTTTGTTTTTGATTTTGGGGGTGTGAGAGTCAGGGTCGTCAGGCGTATCTGAAAATGTGATATACTTGTGTGTGGGCTTCTTGGGGAATATAGGAGCTCGGGAGTTACTGTAGCTCGAATGTCCCCCTAAGCTCGTGTTAGAACTTAACCCCCAGTATTGTGGTGGAAGATGCAGGCCTTTATTATTTTTTTTTAATTTTTATTGAATCATAATTGACTATACATATTTTGGGGGTTCAATGTTGACATATGTTGATCAAATCAATATTACTAGTATGTATATTGTTACAAATTGAACTTATTCTTTGTGCAGGTACGCCTTTAAGAGGTGATTGGATGGGAAGGACTGTGTCCTGTGAACGGATTGATCCATTCATGCAGTAATGGGTTAATGATTTAATGGGTTTTCTAGGGCGTGGTTCTGACGGCTTCATAAGGAGAGCAAGTGAGGCGGTTAGCTGTCCTGCTCTTGCCCTTCTCAGCGTGTTATACCCTGGTCGCTGTGGGTCCCTAGAGAGTGTTCCCATCCAGAAGAAGGCCCTCACCCAATGCACCCTCTGGACTGTGGACTTCCTAGCTTCCGTAAAGCATAAGAAATAAATTTTGTTTCCTTAAATGACCCAGTTTCAGATATTCTGTTGTAAGCAACAGAAACAGACTAGTACAGGATGTGTGACTGGTTTGTTGTATGTCTTTATTTGGGAATCCGTTTAGAATGTGTTTTTATGAATTTATAATTTGGGAGTTGCTATGTATTTCATTGGTTGGTGAGAATTTCTGATATGTGTATTCACACGTGGGTCGGCTGTGTCTGTGTGGATATTTGGGCTTAAGGGAAGGTCCTGCCTTTTTGCTAGAGTGGATAGGGTTGAGTGTATGTGGAGGGTGTGAGATGTAATGCATCTATACTCAAAGAGTTTAGGTGTTTGTTATTTGGGTTTTGGAGGAATATTTTACCTGTGTTTTTTTTTCTGAATGTTGAGGATTTGTGTGTCTGATGGTGGGTGTGGAAGGGTTATCTGCTTGTGCATATGGGCAGTGTTAGGGAAAGTGCTCGTGTACGTTTCTTTGGATGTGCAATCGGTTTTATAGATTTGGGGGATGTAGGAAAACCATTTGTGTACTCAGGGTGTGCTGCATGGTCATGTGTGTTTGTTGTTTTGTAACCTTCAGGAAATGTGTATGAGTGTTTCAGTGGGTGAGGACAGACCTATGATTATTTGGAGGAAGTGGTAGGATGAATATGTTCAGTTGTGGGGTAGGAAGTGAGAAGTATTTGGGGGCTGTGAGACTGTAAATTAGTGCACCCATTATGGAAAACAGTATGGAGATTCCTCAAACTACAGATAGAACTACCATATGATCCAGAATCCCACTGCTGGGCGTACACCCTAAGGAATGGAAGTCATCACGTCGAAGGGACACCTGCACTCCTTTGTTTATTGCAGCTCTATTTACAGCAGCCAAGAGTTGGAACCAACTTAAATGTCCATCAAAGTACTACTGGATAAGGAAAATGTGGTATATATACACAATGGAATACTACTCTGCCATAAAGAAGAATGAAATTCCGCTATTTGCAGCAACATGGATGAACTTAGAGAAAATTATGTTAAGTGAAATAACCAGGCACAGAAGGAAAAATACCGCATGTCTTCACTCACAAGTTAGAGCTAAAAATAAATAAACAAATAAACACTAAAAGAAAAAGAGATGGATGGGACAATCAGAATAATTTGTTGAACTTTCAAAAGGAGAGAACAGAACTGAGGCCACCAGAGATGGGAAAGGGGAAGGAGGTTTGGGATAAATTGGTAAAGGGCCACAAAAAACGATTACATTATGTAATGATAAATATAGTCATTACCCCGACTTGAGGATTGTGTACTGCACACAGGTATTGATTCCCGTAGCTTTGTAGTGTAGTTCGAAGTCAGGCAGTGTCATGCCTTCGGCTTTATTTTTGTTGCTCAGGATTGCTCTGGCTATTTCGGATCTTTTGTTGTTCCGTGTGAATGTTAGAATTGTTTTTTCTATTTCTGTGAAGAATGTCATTGGTATTTTGATGGGGATTGCACC